CACGCTTACACACAACGAACAGGAAAAGGAATTAAGCCACTGCTCGACATACATCATACACGATAGCAAATCGGAGATATGTGAAACTTTCTCACCGGATTCGATTACTGCGAACTTTAACACGTACACGAAACCGAAAACCGAGGCCGGAGCGACCACCTCTGTTCAAACCAGATCCGAATTAAACGATTCCACAAAGAATACACAAACGAAAGATCTCGCTTATGGCACGCTCATGTCGGGGTTGCCTTCGGGCTCCAACTGTTCCACAGAACTACTTTCGACTGCCGACGAAGTTTGGAAACTATCGCAACCGGAGTTGGTAAGAAGATCACCTTTCAGAGATGAATTCAATTCATCACCCTCGAAATCTATCGTAGAAGATAAGGAAGAGGATTGTTCAGAAATAAATAGTCCGACAACAAAACAACCGAGCATTAACAAAATGGATAGCGTCGATGTTACCTGTCTGAAAGATAATTCTGATAGTGATAACAAATCTGTAATGGACAGTCATGATATAAATATAGGAATCGACGAAAGTCAGGATCAAATCAAAACTATAGCCAATTCCCACGCAACTAGTACTCCCTTGACTGAAATCGTTACTAACGACGATGATATAGAGTGCATACCGATTAATTTGCCAAAAATAAACACCGGTAATAGCGAATACCTCACGAAAAACTTGCCAAATTTCCAATCTTTTCTCTTATCCGCTGAGATGAGACCTCAAGATATATCGTCTAGTATAAGTAATGAAGTTACAAGCCTTAACCAGGATACAGAGGTTTTATTAGAAGGTGAAAGCAAAAGTTTGAGCAGAAATAGCAAAGACACCCCTTCGATTCCCGATGGAACACTTACGTATTCAGATTTTGAAGGCTCTGCTGTAAATAAGCCCCAGGAAATAGATTCCCGGGAGACAAGCAGAGATATGCTTACAAGTGATAATATTCAAGATTTTCGAACTTCAGAAAACTCAACACCTATTTGGCAACAGAACCTTTCCTCACTGATAGACGCTAGTTCATCATTGTTACAAAATGAAAGAAGAATAAATGAAATAACAATGCAATCCATAACAGTGGATAACACTAACCAATCTGAAAGTTTGATCAACTTTTTAGATAACCAGTATATTGTAAAGAGTCCGCCTAGTGAAGTGTATTTAAATGAATCTCATATTAATGATATTAATAAGTCTAATATATTTATAACGGATTTAGATACAGAAGAAGAAACGGAACAGCCTCATTCTATTATTATAACAGAAAGCCCTTTAGTGAACAGAATCAGTCCGAACGTTAATAGAAATTATGATTCTCAAACTGTTACTATGTCGTATGATTCAAATACGGGTTTGTTCCAGCCGTTTAAAAAGGATATGGTTGTAGAACAAATGAATGTTCTAGAAAATGACGGAACTGTAGATTTCGAACATGCGATAGAAGACGTTTGTAAGAATAATAGTGTAAATGAATCAGAACCTAGTAACTGTTTGCCGAAGACAGATAATGAAATTAAATGTAATGGAAGTCAGAATTATGCAACTGTTAGTTTCTTAAATGAAGCATTTGAAGAGCTTGTTGAAAGTAATGTTGATGATAATGAAAGAGATATAGAAAATGATTCAGTTAAAGAAATTGAAAATGCAACCAGCGAGGTAGAAAAGGTTGAAAACGAGGAAGTTTCCGAAATTCATGAAGAGAATATTTATGAGAATCTAAGACAGGATGAAGTGAATGGCGTGGTCGAGGCAGAAGATGAAACTATGACGTCAGTGACTGAGAATTTTTTACAGAACGAAAAGAAATATTGCACACTAGATTATTATTTGCCTTTGATGAATGATATCAGATTCACTGGTGAGTTTGCATGTTTTGGGAATTTATTATTTTTACTAGATGTTGCAAGTGACTTCGCCGACGTGGAATTTAAAAAAAAATACAACCTATGGTACTCACT